GGGGGATTGGAGCAGTCCTCTGCCCATGGCGAGCTGGGGGGTGGGTGCTGTTACCTGGTAAGCCTCTCCCATTGAGGGTGTTGCTTCCCTGCTTCAGTCGCATCCCTAGCCTGCCCCTAGCAAGAGTCTAGTGCTGGCAAACCAGTGAAGCATTGTAAGTGCTATTTGCGATATTCAAGCTATTAGGCAGAAACTCTGCTTTTGATGCAGCCTCTTCACCACCTACTGTGTTGTCACTGTTACGCACAGTGAGTGTGTTTTCAAAACAAAATTCGCCCGTCTCTGTTTCAGCCCAGATATATTGCCTTCTGATCCTGTTACAGAGAAGTTTTCTCAGGCTTCTTCCCTCTGTGGCTTGGTTGGCTATGGAAGCATATAAGCATAGGGCAGCTTATGTAGACCTAATGTCTGTATCTACTCTACTACCTCCTTCCCTTTGCTCCACCTGCCATCCCCCTGCACTCTCAGTGCATTTCTCAGCCCCAGGACCCCCAGCCAACACCAGCAGCCCTATGATCCCTGGAGAGGGGTGGTTCTCTGCACTGTCCATGCCCCAAGCACCCTTGTGGCCTAAGGGAGTTGTGGGAGGTGGGGTGGGGGCAACAGTGTGTGGAGACCTCCCACCCCTCCCTGCCTAGGAGCTTCTACCAGAAGGGAATGCTGCACCCTCTCCTATACCCCACCCCTTCTTAGAGCATACACCCCACTCCCTCTTACTCTTGCCCCCAAACTCCCTCCCACTATCCCCTCTCACTGCACCCTCTTCATCCCCCAATCTTTCCCCAGAGCATGCATCCTCACCCCCTCCCACACTCCTAGCCCTATCTCAGCCCAAAGCCTTCACCCAGCATTCAGCCTTCATCTCAGAGCCTGCACCCCAGACCCTTTCCTGCATCCAAACTCCCTTCCAGAATCTGCATCCTCTCCTGCACTCCAATCCTCTGCCCCAACCCAAAGCCTGCACCCAGACTCTCATGGAGAGCCTGCACCCCTTCCAGACCCAAATTCCCTCCCAGAGCCTTAGGAAGGCTGGAAGGAGGTAGTTTGGGTGGGAGCAGAGTGGAGGCTCTTGATGTACTAGGCATTACCAACATTTCTGCAAACCTGCCACCCTATGAGTAGATTGCACAGGGTATGAAGAAGGACTATACCAAGGACACACAGCAGTACCACATAGAAATCGAAGAACTGCAGCAAGCTTACCAAAGGTAAGGAAGGTGAAGAGTTGCTCTTTTGCAGCACCACAGACACACCACTTCTACAAAGAGGTGGATGAGATTCTTGGATGAGGAAGAGGAGGAGGAGAAGAATGGGAAATGACTGCCTAGAAGTACTGCAGAAAAAGATTTAGGGATTATAGTGGATCACAAATTAAATATTAGTCAACAATGTAGTACTGTTACAAAAGAAATGAACATCATCCTGGGATATGTTAGCAGGAGCATTGTAAGCAAAGCACAAATGCTACATCTACATTGCACTCTCTTGTGCAAGAACATATGCAAATGAAGTGTGGTGATGAATATTGCCATGCCTCATTTGCATACTTATTGAGCCGCCATTTTGCACAAGGGGCTTTTTGTGCAAAAAGGAACAGTCTACACTGCTCCTTCTTGAGCAAGCACCCCCTCTTGCGCAAGAGCCGTTCTGGCAAATGAGGCATGGCAATATTTATTGCCATGCCTTATTTGCATGTGTTCTTGCACAAGAGAGCACAATGTAGATGTAGCCATAAAGTAATTCTTCTGCTCGGCACTGCCAAAGACCTCATCTGGCCACAGAGGATGCCTAAGCTCTAGTTGAGTGGGCTCTGATGATTGTCAGTGTTGGGACTCCTGCCAGCTCACAGCAGATCTTGATGCATGAGATAATCTGTTGGAAACCCTCTGTGAGGAAACTGGAAGGCCCTTCGTCCTATCTGCTGTAGCAATGAAGAGCTTAGTTGATTTATGGAAAAACTTGGTACATTCCAAGTAAAAAGCCATGGCTTTCTGGACATCCAGCATATGAAGACACCTCTCCTCCCTGGTTTTGTGTAGTTGGAGACAGAACACTGGTTCATATGGAAAGTAGACACTACTTTCAACAGGAAAGCTGAGTGGGACCGTAGCTGAACCTTATCTGTATAGAAGATCATATAAGGTGGTTCTAAGGTCAAGGTTTTAATCTCCAAGAGTCATCTCACTGACGTCACCACCAGGAAAGTGACCTTCTCTGACAGGTAGGAAAGGAAGAAGGAGCCTAGTGGCTGAAATGGCAGGTCAGTGAGCATACTGAAAATCCAGTTAAGATCCCACTGTGGAATGGGAGTCTGCACCTGCAGGAAAAATCTCTGAAGGCCTCTCGAGAATCTGACCATCATGTCATGATAAACACCATCTGGAAGAGTATGTCAGAATCCTGGTTTCTGAGATGCAGTAGGTAATCTAAGATGGTCTGCACCAAGGAGTGCAAGGGAGAGATGCTCAGATGCCCAGTTGGAAAACCTAGCCCACTTGGCGAGATAAGTGAGTCTGATTGATGGCTTCCTATTTCTCTGGAGGACTTGCTGGACTTCCTCTGAGCAGGTACACTCCTCCAGGTTCAGCCATGGACCTTCTACACTAAGAGGTATAGAGACATATGGCTGGAGTACAGGAGCTGACTGTGGTCTTGCAACAGGAGTTCTGGTCGATTGGGAACGGGCCAGAGAAGGACCACCTTCATGTTCATGAGCATGCTGACCCAGTGCCAGTGAGGCCATGCTGGAGAGATGATGTGCTTTGTTCCTCTTTACCAGGACCCTGTCGATGAGAGGGATCAGAGGGAATGTGTACATCAGGCCCTGTGAACATGATAGGAGTCATGATATCAGAGAGGGAGTCCTTGCTGGCAGCAAAATCGATGGCACTTTCTGTTTTGCCTGGTGGTGAACAGATCTACTTGGGGAGTTTCCCACATCTGGAAGATCATGCAGGCGGCTTTTAGGTAGAGTGGGCATTCATGGTGAGAGACGTACCTGCTGAGATTATCCACTAAGACATTCTGACATCAGGGAGGTGACAACCTTCCAGAAGGACATCATAGCTGATGTACAAGTTCCAGAGATGGAATGTCTCTTGGCTGAGAGCCAACAAGTATGAGGCAAGAAGACCTGTAGGCCAGTCAGACCACTTTGAATTTTCTGGTGTTTATATGTAATATTATCTCTTCTGGGGACCACTTCTCTTAAGAATATAAGCATAGTTATACTGGGTCAGACCAAAGGTCCATCTAGCTCAGTATCCTGTCTTCCAACTATGCCAGGTGCCCCAGAAAGAATAAACAGAACAGATAATAATCAAGTGATCTATACTCTGTTGCCTATTGCCAGCTTCTGACAAACAGGCTAGGGACACCATCCCTATCCATCCTAACCATTGATGAACTTTTGTAGCTCCATGAACTTTTTAACTCTTTTTTGAACCTTGTTATAGTCTTGGCCATGACAACAACCTCTGGCAAGGAGTTCCACAGAGTGTGTGCATTGTGCAAAGATCTATTTTTTCATTTGTTTTAAACCTGCTACCCATTTATTTCATTTAGTGACCTGTGGAAGAAAACAAGCCTTCACTCTGCGTTTGTAAGCAACAAGTAGCCAGAGGCAGTTTTATTACGAGCTGAAGCAAGAGAAAAACTGATTCGAACGGGCGAGGGGGCGGAGCCCCCCACCAGGCAGATCTTCCAATACAAGCAATTATGAAGCAGTTTATATACTGTCCATTACATATAATAACAATAAACAATTAGTCTCCTTCCCATTACAAACACCAATGGCTAACAGTTATTTTAGTTCCACCCAGATGCTCCTTATCTCAAGGTCCCTGCCAGAGTCAGCATTCTATCCTTATCTCCATATGGAGGTGAGAGGCGAAGGCAGCGTCTTATTACAGTTCTTGCGTTGTCAAGAGTCAGAATTAGCCTGACTCTTGCTAACAAGACTAAGATGGCTGCATACAAATCCCTTGCTTCCACACTCCCCCCTTTTGTGCTTTTAGCACAAGTAACTTTCTAAACCTCTGTTTTCATTAGGCATTGTATTTCTATTTCCAAATCAAGGGGATCTTCCCTACAAATTTTGGACGGTTATAACAGCAATACATAATTAGTATAAACATAAAAGCTATTTCTTTTATGACACCAACAATACAATAATCCTAAAA